TCTGTCTCAAATAAATAAATAAAATCTTTAAAAAAAAAAAAAAGAACATGGACTCTCGAGTCAGACTAGCTGTTCGAATTCCATCTCGGCCTCTTGCTAGCTCCATAGACTTGGGCAAGTCATTTAATGTCCCCGTGCCTCAGTTTCCTCACTTGTACAATGGGGACAATAATGATCCCTCCCTCCTAGGTTGCCGAGGTTTCAGTGGAATGATGTACATAAAAACACTCAGCATGGTTTTCCCTCAGTATGAGCGACACCTATGATCTTTGCCAAGCGCTGTGTCAAGCTGGGGCTACACCGGAGGGCCCCACGTTCTGCTTCCTCGAAGCCTCTGGGGTTGACTCGGGCCAGTTCTGTTTAATGTGCCGGATGAAATAAGATCAGAACTGCGCAAGGCCAGCTGTTCCCTGCCAGTTACCAAGCACCTCTGGGTTTTGTGAGCCTGCTTTCCGTGTGGTTGCCAAGTGGCTTTCGAGAGCAGTGGGGGAGACCTTCCTGCCACCCCCCCACCTTGTTGGACTTCCTCGGTGGAGGTGCCCCGTCTGACAGAAGATCCCTGCATCCCTGGCCAGCTTGTCACTCAGGGCTCTTTCTACCCCCATCCCCTCCCACCGAGGCTCTTGGTGGAGGCCCAGCTCTTACCGATTCGAACTCTCCATGAGCAGGAGCTCCGGAAATAGGAGTAGAGGATGGGCTGAGGAGAGACAGGATAAGGATGCCCGTTAACCCATGCTCATGGGGTTCTCTGCCCCTGGAGCCCACTGGCCTCAGCCAGGGGGCTTCCCATCCTGCCAGGCCTCCTTCCGTACCTCAGGCCGACTCAGAGCTCTCTGGGTCAGAGGCCTTGGGAGTTATGTGGGTCAGCTCCAAACTGTGCCGTCACGCATTCCTGAGGTCCAAGGGGCCCCCAAAGGGGCAGCCAGCCTGCAAGTGCCCTCCTTACCTTGCCAGACTCAGTCATGGTGTTGTGTGACCCTTGTCCTCTCAGGGAATGTCCCCTCTCCCAGAACTTGCAGAGTAGGGGGAGGATCCCTGAAGGGGGTGGATCCCATGAGCCAATGAGGAAGCTGGGCGAGACAAGCTTCAGGGAAACTTTGACTCTGGTCAGAAAGGGCATCTTTTTCCAACTTGGGGGAAGCCTTTTCTGTTCTGGTGGAGCCAGGTTTGGTGTCCTGGTTTTGAAGCAGTAGTTCACGTGGTTCAGTGGGCTGAGAGCTGGCATACCTGGGGTCTGGTCCCAGGGCAGGAACCAGCTCTGCATGACCTTGGGCAGATCCCTGCCTTCTCTATTCTCTAGTCTTTTCTCCCTCATCTGTAAAACAAAGGGTTGCCTTAAAATGATAGCTGAATTCCTCCCAGCAGTGACAGAAAGACCAGGAATTCTAGTTTTTCGATGCTTTGGTGCCCATCTCTTTCAGCCCACCACCCACCAGTCCTCCAGGTTCTCAGCTGGTCTCATAAAAATAGCTGGGGGATATGCCCATTGACTCCAAAGCTGAGGTCACAAGAGGACAGCCCACAGTGTTCTGTTTTGGTCTACTTGTACTTAAAAATGTTTCAATTGGTTGCCAACATTAAAAAATCAGGATGTTTCATATACAAATCCTATTGTCTGTTTTTTCTTAAAAAGATCTAGAGACAGTAGTCTTGGGTTCCTGAGTAGAAACAACTGATAGGAGACAATTAACAGCCCCCTTCAGTCAGGGCGCATCCTCTGATCTTCCATGTGCCCTACCCGGCCCTCTTCTCTCATCTCTGTTATTGAGGCACTGAAGGAGGCTGAGTGTGTGACCTCTAATCTAAAGTTTAAGACACTCAAAGTTAACCTCCCCCGTGCTTCTTGAGTGATCAGCATTTCAAAGCAGGGCCCAGGATGGAGTTGTCAGTAATTAGCTCTCATGAATCTTTGGGAAGACATATATGTATCCATATGATTAGGGAGAGAGAACACAACAGAATTTCTAGATCATCCCAGTCTACCATCCCTCTGACTACAGACATTTCACACAAGTGCCCTCTGCCTTCTGCACCCCTCAGCACACCAAACTGCTCTGTGACCCTGCCTTCACCATCCCTGAACTACCAATTCTGTCTTCTAGGTGGGCAAAGGCACAGTGGAACCTAGGCCCTCCCAGGTTGGTTTCCAGGCCTGTCAGTTCCAGCCTGTACTGAAGGCACCTCTTGTGGGGAAAGTAAAGATGGTCCAGGTACGGAGGAGGGCAGGTGATGGACAGCAGGTGTCTTTGGAAGGGGAGGAGTTAGGAGGCCAAAATTAGATATGCCCTATTCAGAGGTACATCCCTGTCCTTACTAGGTCAGGGCCGTCAGGCAGGTACTGCTGGTGAGGGATGGGACCACTAGAGAGCCTCAGACATTAGCTTAGAATCCCTGGAGAAATGCCTTACCGAATTACTATATGTTCCATCTTGACCTATACTAAGGGTGACCAGAGTCACTGTGAATGCCACTGTTCTCCAGTGTCCCACTTATGGGCCATCAGGAAAAATAACAGAGAGCAGTCCCTGCTCTTCCTCCTACCAGTGATAACTACGTAAACTACCCCGTGCTCCTTTTTGCTCTTGTAGAGCCAAGTTTTAAGCCCAAATAAAGTATTCATCTCATCACCACTCCTGGAGGAACTGTTTCCAATTCAAATATGGATTCTGACCACTCTAGCAGATTTTATTTTAAAACCATTTCTCACGAATCGTTTTGAAAGACTCCTAAAATGCCATTTGGGAGGGGGAGGGCTATACAGTATTAAGGTGATGCTATATTCCACCCGATGTGCCTGACACCTTCCTCGGTGGTTCTCAAACTTGAATAAGACCTTAAAAGGCTCACGGGGCGCTTATTAAGCATGCAGATTCTTGGGTCCCTTCCCCCACAGATGACCCCGGGGCTCTGGGCCGGGCCGGGGAGTGCAGACTGAACCCGGGAAGCTCCCCTGGTGATGGTGATGACTTAAAGTGCTAATGGCTCCCCTCGCCCCAGGAGCTCTCAAAGTGCAAACCCCCTGGGAAGGCCCTACGCTAACAGGACCCATCGGGCCGACTGGCCGGGAAAGAGCATGTGGGGCTGTACGGAAGAGGGAGGCAAGGGACGTCTGGAAAGCCTAGCAGAAAGGACTGTGAATGACAGGTGAAGCGCGAGGGTACAGCGACTCCACAGCGCCCTGCACACCCCACGAGCGCGAGCCGCCTGCGGCCCAAACCTCCGCGAACTACAAGCCCCAGCGGGCAGCGGGCAGCGGGCAGCGCGCAGGCGCAGAGCGGGGTCCGCGAGGCGCTCTGCATTCCGGGAGTTGTGCGTTGTGGAAGCCACGGGAAGCCCCGGGGCGAGCGGCGCACCTTTGACCCCCGCCCCCCGGGTTTCTCAGTGTTTCTCAGTAGCGCCCCCTCGCCGGATGTGTGGCACAGACCTTACCCACTTGCATCTCGCACCTCCGGCCACCCCTCTTCCACGGCCGGAGACTTCGCGCCTGGGACTCTCCGACTCGTCGCGGGCTGAGGCCCAGTGAGGCCCAATACGTCAGAACCAGCGCTTCCGTCGTGGTAAAGCGAGGGGTTGGACTAGAATGATCTTTAAGGTCTCGTCTGGCTCGCCCCGCCCTGCCGCCACGCCCCCCCTCCCGAAGCTGCTGGGAGTTGCAGTTCTTTGAGCCCGTTTTCTCCCCGGCTGGCCCGCCGGGCCCGGGCGATCCGTCATGCTCTGCGCCACCAGCCGCCTCCTAGCGGCCCGGACGGCGACCGCGCTCCCCGCCCAGCCCAGAGGCCGGGGCCCCGGGGCCCGCTGCCGGCGAAGGGAACTACATTTCCCAGGGCACCCCGAGCTGCCCCTGGGTGACTTCTTGGCGGGGCGGCTCGCAAGATCGAGCGTGTCGGCGGGGCGGAGGGCGATCCTGAGGAGGGGCAGGATGCCGCCGGCGGTGGGCAGAGGCCCGGCAGGGTCCGAGCTGCGCCCCCGGCGGGGCCGCTGTGGGCCCCAGCTTACTAGGGCTGTGGGCCCGGACGTGGCCCCCGAGCCTACAGCGCGGAGCCCCAAACGGCCTGCTCGGGGCTCGCGGCGCTTCGAGGCAGCCGGCCGGTGGGCCCTGCTGGCCCTGGTGACGCTGCTGTCCTTCGCCACCCGCTTCCACCGTCTGGACGAGCCGCCACACATCTGGTGAGTGACAGGAGGGACTCGGCGGGTCCCATGGCAACCGAGTGGGAGTGATGCGCTCTCTGATTGGCCCGGGGGCACGGAGCGGGGCGGGAATCACCGGAGGAGGAGCGGGACTGCGCTGGAGGGGAAACAAGTTGCTAGAGGTAGCTTTTGGCCAGGTGCAGTTTCTGTGAGAGGAGTCATTTTTGCTCCGTTGGGTGGCAGTGGGGTTCCTTAGGATCGGAGGAAGCAGTCTCTCAGATTATGGCCTTGACCTTCCAAGGAGATTTGGAAATTCTTAGTACAGAATTTCCTAAGGCCTGAGTTCCTAATCTGTAGGATTTCCAGGCATCAGGGGAGGTGAAAATCATCCTTGGGAGCAGGGACAATTTGTGTGTCCAGAGAAGGTGACAGGGGTCTCAGGAAGCAGGTCTGGGGTCATCTTGTGAAGAGAGACTTGTTTTCTTAAAGGTTTTATTTTGTAGGACTCAGATTTCACGAGATAAGCGTAAAAAGTCTCCAGCTTGAAGGAGGAGAAGTTTTGCACAATCTGAAAATGGTTAATTTGTTTAGCCAACAAGTGATAACATGTTTTGTCAGTATCCCTGACCAGAAAGTTAGTGTAGGGGATGTTAAAAATGGAACTCCTTGACCAAAAAGCAAGCCAGCTAACAAACTGGGCTATCCTACTTGGAAGTGAATAAATTAGCTTGTTATTGTTTCATGAGTGCTGGCAGAAGACATGAGACTTCTGGGTCAGAGACAAAGGACTCATTACTCACAGGGCAGGAAGCAGGATGAATATCAGTATACTGGAATAAGTTTGAATCTCCCCTCCCTCCCCCACCCCACTGATGTGGAGTTGTTAGGGGGAAGGAAAGACAAATCATGTCCAGGAATAGTCCAGGAAGAATCTAAAATTTTCAAAATATAGGTTTATATAACCCTCCACCTGTTTTTGTCCTGATCATTACCCAGTTGGTGGCCAAGAGGGGATGAACCGTTTCTGGTGATGACTGCATTAGGTGACCAAACTGCTTTACCAAGGTGTGTGAACCAGGAGGAGGTGAGGGAAGTAGAGTCAGAAATCATTTTGAGAAAATTGTTCTGTGCTCAACAATATCAAATGCCTTTGGAGCGTAGGGAGTGTGGAATGTCATCAGATACCTAGACTGTTGGCTCATTATTATGTGGCCATTGCAAAAAAAAAGGTGCGCTATCGTCAGACTGTAGATGGTTTGGAATGACATAGTTTAGTTTCAAGTGCTGCAATGACTTATGTGGGGTCAGATGATTGGACTGGAACAGCATCATCAACACTTTAACCTGAAAAAGTGTCAGTAGCAGTGAGGTACCAGTGATAGCCTGGAGGGGGGAACAAATCCTAATATAGTCAGTTTCCTTGGAGCCGGCAGGGCCAGTGTCCCCTTGTGGCCTCCTTTATTGCAGGACAAATTGGCCAACTTTTGGCAGGAGTCACAAGTCACCACAATGTAGTAATGGCTTATGCTTCAGAAACATAGAGTCCTTTACTTTGTGCCCAGTCCATGATGGTAGATGTGTTTCCACGTGTGGAGCACTGATGAATGCTGGTGTCATTGGCAGTAGCCTGTTTGGTACAAGCTTGATCTGCAGCTTGATTTCAGTCAGTCTTATCAGAATACTGGCCCTTACTGTGGACATCTATATGTGTGATCCAGATTGTCCCATTGACAGGCAGCCATGATTTTTTTGCCACAGTTCTTGGCTCTGAAGAGGGATGATTTAAATTTCTCAGTATATAGTCCTCTAGGTGGCACACCAGAAGCTAGGCTAATGGCAAAAGCCCAAGAGCCAATAAAAATAGAATTTGTCTGTTTCTCAGGAATATTGTGTAAGGCAAGGGTGATGACTTTCAATTCAGCCCATTGTGCCCATTAACCCTTATTGCAGTTGGCCTTCCAGAGTTGTCACTGGGACTGGATGATTGCTGCTGCCCAGTGGATGCTATCAGTAAACCAGGCAAAAACCTTGAGAGGAACCTCTGTGAATCAAGCCTCCACTGAGCCAGTGGTTTTGCTCTGGGTGGCAGAGTGGAAGATAGTTCCTCCCAAAGTGGATGCTCCCACCTCCTCTTATAAAGTCAAGATGCCTCTAGGGCCAGGCC